GCAAGGATACTGTTTTACACTTCAGACAAAAATCAAAGTATTTCTTTTATCCCTTGACTGTTTACACTTACAGTTCATTATTCAGGGTTTGGTAAAGTTCACTCTCTTCAGTGATTCTGCAGAGAGAAAACAACAAATAATAAATGTAAATGACCAGTTCTTATGATTGTGACAATTGATTCCAAAGAATTTGGACCCAGAAGATCTTGAGTGAAAACTCCACCCATGTTTTGAGGTTTAGAAAAACAGTAGAAGCAGTTTGCCTCAAATTAGGAAAAAGGAGCCAGTATTCAAGAGATAATGATATTTTGATCAGCATGGCTCTTCAACATCCTTCAGTAATAATTCATCCATGTGTCTCTGATCTCTGCTCATTTGCATGGAGGGCTGGAAGTCTAGAAAAAAGGAAGCCCACAAGTAATCTAACAGGAATAAGAAGAGAGGAAGGTAGATTAATATTATAGTTCCATCCTAAGCAGTAGCTCAGACTTTAAGTCCAACCCAGATGAAGAAATGCCAGCCAGATAATGGACTGGGTACATTGGAGCTGAGATCTTGATAATCATCATCATTATCATCAAATAAAGAAGAAGAGATTTGCTAGATACACATTTATGTATGAACTTATTTTTTTCAGATCTCCAAAATCTGTACCTAAACTGGAATACACCAACATTCACAGTTCTTATATATGCATATATGAAGGGAAAGTATAGATGAATGAGTTTTATTTTGCATGCAAAATTTCTGGGGTGGACTAGAGGAGGGGCATATTCCCAAATTGATGTGAGAATGGATGAAGACAAATGTACTCAGAGCAAAATTGAAATGCTCAGATTTACCTGTCCCTCTATCTTGGACTTAGGGCCCTTCCAATGGAACTTTCAGAGATGGCAACCCCTGAGCTTGATCTTCAAATCACCCATCTCTACACATGGGACTTGTCTACCCACATGTCTTCTTCAGTAGTGCAATGACGAACCTGTATGGCAGGGATGGATAACATGTGTCCCTCTAGGTATTGTTGGACTACAACTCCATTATTTCTCATTATTAGTTATGCTAGCAGGTCTGATGGGAGTTGTAGTTCAACAACCAATTGTAGATCAAACATTGCCCTTTGCTGCTGGAAGGAATTAAGAGATGAAGTGGACTTTCACTGTTCCTCTAAGACCTTCTTATATTTAGGAAAAGTGCAGACTTTTGGACTCAGTGCCTGGCCTATGAAAGATTTAAAAAATCTCAGCAGAACTACCAGTTGAATAACTTGTTGGAGCAAGCTGTTCAGTCAGAATTCTGTACAGTTTTGCAGTGTCTTGACATGATACTCATACTGGGCACAATGGGTTTCTATTGAAGAATGGATAAGTCAGACCAGATTAATTCAGGGATGTGCAGCCTTCTTTGGTCTGAAGGATGCACTTGGTATTTGAATATTGCACAGGGAGTCAAACATCAAAAAGTGGGCAAGGATAGAAGAAAAACGAAATGGATTTAATTGAATGTAAATGCAATAATTTAGAATCAGTTCCTCATGTTTTGAATAGTTTTCCTTTTTTGTCCTATTAAGCACCACAATTTGCAGCAATTTTGGGAAACACTTATTCAAAGCTTGATGAGGAGCTTACAGACTTGATCTCTTATCGCACTACTCTGACTGAGGAACCAAGCAAAAATTAATGACATTGTAAGAATTTTTGATAGAAGAGCCTGGAGGTTTTAACATTTATTTCCTAATTCTACAATAGTACAAAGGAGTAAGTCTTATTTCATTTAATTTACTTAACAAGAAATTTCACATGAAAGCTGTTGGAAGTTAACGTAAGCCTTTCTTCTACCTGCTATGTTGGCTGAACAATAACTTAAAATGGACACAATTGTTCTGCAAAGGACTTAGTGAAATGATGGAGTTTATCATGAAAATACAGGTAGCCCTCAGTTTAAGAATGAGTTCTGTTCCCATGGACTGTCCTTAAGTCAAATTTGTATGTATTGTACAATATTATCGTAAAATACTGTATAAGTAGTATTGTGTAATCATCTTGAACAATTGTGTATTTAACTCAAATCACTGAGTATTTAACTCAAATTTTGCTACAATAGACTCAGTTCTTAACTATGGGTCATCTGTAAACCAGGTGTTCTTAACCTGGGGACTACCTGTACTGATATTACATTTACCTGGAAAAGAACTACTTCCAGTTTCAAATTGCAAATATTCAAGTTCAAGAAAGTTAAAGGAACTCAGGAGCAAAAGGGTACATTGGAAGCAGGGGCATCACTGGAGGGGGTCAAGAAAGTCAAGATGGCAATTGTAACCATGTGATTGCAGCTCCACCTGTTTTTGTAACACGTATAAAAAGGATCACACAGTTGTAGCTCCCATTTTGCTTTGTTAGTCCCTCCCACAGATACCCCTCATTGGAAGCTCTCTTTCTGCATGAAATGCACCACAGTTGAATGATAAAAACTTGCCGTCACTCAGTTATCTGATTTTTAATGGATTAGCTGACTAAAATAAATATTATAATAAATCCATACAGATCAAACCGAAAATCTTCTGGGATGAGACCAAACGGAACTAATCTTTTAAATGTCTGAAGAGGGCTGTGCAATACTTTAGATTCAATGGGAGAACATGCACTTAGGCTAGACCTCAATGATTGAAGACTAATCTAGTTAAAGGATAGCTTCTTTTGTGTTTAAGTCTGCCTTCTCAGCAAATCAAGGTAATCTTGAGTTGTGTATAATCACCATCAGAGGTGTGGATGGCACGTATGGAGAAAGCCGTCCTCTCTAGTAGACACTTGGGGTTCAAAATTCTGTGCCCTGGAAGATTCGGCTGAATTTCCCTGTTGAAATTTAGACAACAAATAGTAACTGTGGTGGTAAAGCCAATACAATTGATTTGGCTTGGTCATCATCAGCATTACAGCATGATCAAGCTGATTAATACATTTTAATATAGCTGAATCCCAGCATGTTATGCCCATTTCATATAACACATTTACCTCTAGCCCAGGGGGTTGCCAGGGCAAATATAGATTACTATTATTATATATTTAATCCTGTTACAGATAAATAGCAGTTATCTCTCTATTTTTTAAAAATCTGATTCCTAGAAGAGCTATACAGAAGCAACAGAGTACAGAATATGCAAAATCTGCCATCCCTCACTGGCCAGATGACAATGGATGAAAATTTCAGTGCATATCCCCTCTAAACATGCCAAAGATAAAGTCTGAAATCTCAGAGCAGTATATGATTCCTCTTTGCCCAACAGATAATTTTTAAAAAAATCAGGAAAATCAAAGATTTAACCCAATGGGAAAAACCAGAGTTTGAAGATAATACCTGCTTAATATAAGGTTCCACTTTTGTAACTTGATTTTTTTAATACACTGATTTGCCAATATAGAAGATGCAACCTTCAAAACTTTGTTAATCAAAGCATGGATATTTATATTAAGAATAGTTCCAAATACAAATTTTAGGTTGGGTTTGTATCTGGCACATGGGATAATTTTAGCTGGAACACAAACCAAGTAATATATGAACGCTCAATGGTTTTGAATCTTCCCTCACAAAATTTACCATGGCAATACAGAGTCTCAGTACTTTTTTATAGTCACTGACCAGAATCAACAAGTTAACAGCAGCTGAAACAAAATGAAACCATATAGTTTATGGCTAGATCATTGATACAATCAAAATACGTCCAGTTTTACAAATAGTGTAGCAAAATGTGGCCACGTTCATAGAAACTGATTCATCCTAGTCTGATAATAACAGTTGTACAGGGAATAAATCAAGATTGGCCGGGTACTTTGTTAAATAAGGAGCAATAAGGCAGACCCTTGCACCTTTATCAAAATGCAATATAACAGGACATGGACTATAGATTCAATAAAACCTTCTCCACAAGGGCACCATCTGAGCTCATAAGAGATTTTTTAATATATATTGGACTTCAAAAGCCACCATAGGGAGGACATTAAAGTATGCTAAGGGGAATGTTGAGAGGCAGTTATATAGCACAGATACATTGCTAGCCTAAAAGAATGGGGCTTGTCTATTCAGGACAATGTTCCTGGGTAGAGCAGCAGGACAGTTGAGAATAATTTCCAAAATAAAATGTGAATGGGTTTCAAGTTTAACAATACTTGCCCAGACTCATAGATCCATACCATAATTGGAGAATATTTCCTCAAAACCTATGGAGGATCTGAATTACTTGTCAGGGTACACTGAGTTTTGGCATGCTACAGTAAAAGCCAGATTGCAATAGAAGAGAATATATGTAGCTGAGGGTTGAACTGTGGAGTCCTTGGTGACTGATGATGTTACCTAGTTGGGTAATGAAATGTCTGCAAGCAAACAACCAAGCTCAGAGAGCACCAAGGACTCCAAAAGGCTGACTGTTTCTTGAATTCTGGCTACTTCCATGGTTTATAGATGTTGCAAGTAAGCTAATTTTGTGCATGGTGTTTCTTCTTAAAAAGGGCACTCTTTTTAAACAGTTGTTGGTCACCTCATGAGAAGGAGGCAAGGCATGATATAAAAGGTCTGATTTTTTTTTAAGAAACATCTGAATGTTTACAGTGATCACCTTGTTATCTTTCCCAGTCAAATATTCTTGTAATTTATTGACATCCTGAAGCTGCTGCTTAGTATTTGTATGTTGTCCCTTCACCACAGGCTTATTTGGAAAGTTACTGCTATTTTGGTTTTCTCCCCAGAATTTGGGATAGGACCACTTTCTGGGGCATTCTGGGAAAATTAAAAACACAGTAGCAATTCCTTAACTGCTGCTACTACTACAGATAAGTCCAAAGCTGGTAAAGTGAGTGGACAGCTAGACAAACAGGTGACTATACAGGCTATGCTGGGTTACTTTGTTGGTGTCCTGCCTCTGATCTTGATCTGAACCTCCTTGTTCATCAAAAGTAAATCAAGAAGTATTTTCAGTATTGTTTATAACTCAGGCGTATTATTTCCAGGGCTAATCATGTCTGCAGTGGGATCTATTCCTATTCCTGTCCACCCATATTTCTTCTCCTCTTCATCTTCTGCATAACCTCAGACATTCCTGCAGCTCAATAGAACATCTGGATGAAGGACAAAGCCATTTCCATTGCTAAGACCAGCAAGTATTGAGTTTTGACCCAGTTTTAAAGGCGAGGTGTGTTAATCTGGGTTGTCCTATAAAATGCCATATATCAGTCAGCTATTTTTTTGGGGGGGGGGGCATGGCTATTTCTCTTACAGGCCAATGATAGATTTTTATGTCAATTTTATGTAGGTTAATTAATGCAGAAACATTGCAAAGTGAATCCAATAAGATATTATTTCTTCAGTATGTGTATTTTTGTAGGGTGTGGGCCTTTCAATGTTTGAGACATAGTGTGTTCCTTTGTTAAACTCCACTATCAAATATAGATTATTTTCCAAGAGATTCTATGCATATCCAGTTTCCTTTGTAAAGGAGAAATATATAGATATAGATATTGATATTAGAACAGTGAGAGGAAAGTGAGAGGATTCTAGCATAATTCAGCCCCAGGATTTTTAGGACCAGTTCACACAATCAATTTGCCCCAGCACTGGTATGGGCCTTGGACCACTTCTTGATGGAAGGAATGCATGATGTTGTCTTCTATCTATTCCCAGCCCACCTAGAAGGAAACCTCCACATTTCTTTCTGCTACACATCAAAAAGTAGTGTTTTCTGGCATGTGCCAGTCCAAGCAACTTTGCCTACTATGGTTCATTTCATTTAAGACAAATGAACTCTGTTCCAATCAGCTACTGTTTGCCATGACAGGAACACACCCTTTCCTCTGGTCACTGCCCTCTATGGCCATTTTTTTAACATGTTCACTAATGGAATAGTGAAAAGCTGAGCTTTTATTTTTATTTTTACAATTTTACTAATGCAATAGTGAAATGATGGACCTACCGTTTTATTGTTTGTATTTTACAAGTTCACTGATAGAATAGTGAAATGATGGGCTTATGTTTTTTTATAAGTTCACTGACAGAACAGTGAAATAGGGAAAGATGGAATTGCCTTAAAAAAAAACACTGATGAAACTGACAAGATTTCTTCTTTTTCCTTCTTGTTCAGGAGGCTAAAAGAAGAATGGGAATCTATCAGTCAGGAGCCATGGTAAACATTGTCCAGGCAGGACATCTTGGCAGCTCAAGTGGAGGAAGAGGCTGAGATTGAGAAATCATATGAATTCATATGACTCCCATAAGAATCTGAAAAAATATGTTTATTTGAAGGAGTTAACTCATTAATATAGCTCTTAAAGCAGTCACAACTTTTTTTAAAGCTGCCACAAAAGTCTAGAAAAAGTGGAGCTGCTTTAATGAAAAGCAGACAGGGGCTGTGCTCGAACTTGCACAAGGTCTGAAGCACATCTTCCATCATTTCTGAAGCAATGTGCAGTGCACAGAAAAGTGAAGCTACCGCAGCATGACCTTGTGAATAGAAAAAGTCACACCTCATTCTATTCAATATTACATCCACAACATCATCACTAGGAGGAAAGAAGGTGGAAGAAGAGCCTTATCATGCAATGCCAATCCCTTATGTGTATGCAACTGAACCTAAAAGTCATTCATCATATAAGAAATATCACTGAAATGTCAGTTTATGAATTGAAATATCCTTGCAACAAAGATTCCAATCTGCAAACTGTAGATTTTGAATAGATACCTGAAAGTCACCTTCTGCTTCACAAGAAAATACATTACATGTCAGACTATATACTATATTTATTGAGAGAAAGATAATCCTGAATTTAAATGCCCTTCCCCCAGGATTGAACAGAAAGAACAATATATATAAGCACAGGCATAGATCTTGTGCAGTGCCCATCTTCCTTGGCTTCTTAATGTAGGATTGTCTTTTCCAGCTGAATCCAATCCTGGAGATACCCTCCCATAAATCTGTGTGTGTGCAGTGTAACACATTAGTGTGTGCCTGTACATATATGGCAGAAACTAATGGCTATAAGAAAATTAATTAAATTGGTAGCTACTTATTAAAACTGATCACCCTGTAAAATAAGGTGGCCAATTTATAAAAGGAACTGATCTCCCATATGCCTATAGCTAATATGCCATATTATTTATTTATTCAGCAAATGTATATGGCTGAATTTAGGGAGAGTTTAGGGAGTTTAGGCAGTGAATAAAACAAACTTCAAAGGCATCTATGCTTTTCAGCAGTGATATCTGCAGCCATTTGTAGCTTTACCCTTTTGCTTGCATTCAGCTATTTTTCTGTTTTCCTTGGTGAATATAAAATAACCCCCATCCCCATTCACAGGTAATTATTGCAAGGGGGGGACCTCTTTCCCTATGGGTAAGCACAGTTGGCAAAAGGGGCTTGCAACATGCCAATTAGTAATCCTGCTCATGCTATAGCTAACCAGCCAACCACATCTTGTTTTAGGAGAAGTCATTCCCCCCAGGATACTAGCATTTCTTTCCCTCCTCTCTTTGGTTCCTCATCTAACGTGTAGAATTCATTCAGCTATGATGGATTATTCCTCTATCACCGCCCCCCCTCCATCCACCCACCCACCCATCCTCTCTCTCTATGGCATAAATAATGACATCTGCTTCTTTAAGAAGACAGCCATGTTCAATAATGAATGGCAGAATGGCACTCTGAAGCACATTTTGGAGACTGAATACAAAGCACCACACATCCCCAATACTTAATCATTAGTACTATTTGTTTTAAAAAATAAGGAATGGAAATCTGTTTGGTGAAACTAGAGGAACACCTACAGATGTCCTACAAATGTGTGTTTCCATTTGAAACAATTGGTCTTCACCATGTGCTGGTGTATAACTTCTGTAGAAGTTGAACACATGAATCGCAAGGCTAGTGTTTGTTTTTGTTTTATTCTGCTGGAGATTGTAATATCCCCAAATGAGAGATTATCACTGAAACTGAAGAGAGTTCAGAAACTAACTGTGGATGAATTTTAACCCTGGGTTAATGTTTCCCTATCATCTAGCCATTTTTCTTCTTATCTGAAGGACACTTTTCATTAATGCGCCATTATTTTTGAGCAACTCTATTCACCCCATCATCTGAATTGAAGGCTGGTATATACTAAAGATGGAAAGAGGTGAACTTTATGGCCTGACTATCTTGAATCATGTGCCAGCATATTTTGGTGGATTTAGCTTTTATTGTGTCTGAGCTGAATGTTAATGGAGTCAGAAGGAATCTACAGTCCATTAATTGGTGCTGTCATCAGCACTGAGCTATTGATTCATTTACATCTTAGAAACAACTGAGTCATATGGCATAATTTGCTAGTTCATCCTTATTTGAATAAATTAATACAGGACAAATGCATTTTAAATTTCTGGAAAGAGATCCTACCCTCACCCAATAGTAGAGGTGGGCAACCAGAGGCTATGGGTATGTATGCATGCATTCAATTTCTGGGTTTCTTAGAGCCCTTTCAATATCATACTACTGAAATTTGGCAGCAAATTCAGGATCATAGAGAACAAAATGACCCTTTCTCTCCTTTTGAAAATGAAGCTTTAACATAGTAAGTGTGTTAGGCCTTTAGGAAGAATAACACACTTGTATTATGTAACCTCATCTTGGAAAAGATTTATCTATGTGGTTGCTAAGAATCAACATTGACTTGATGGCATACAATCAATCCATCAAACTTGTAACCACATCACTCCTAAAATTAAAAGAAAAGAGGCAAAACATTTAGCCCTCGCCACTCCTGTGACATCACTATCTAGCTCCTTGTGACCATTGGAGGCTGAAAATAAGTATAAAAAATTAAAATCCATCCCACTCCTCAAATGATGCCAACTCAGCAATATTGGAACCAACTACTGACATGGCCCTATCAGCATCTATACCCACAGATGATGTGTTTTGGATGGATACAAATGCTCCTTCAACAAAGTGACTGATTTGGTTGCCATTGCCTACTTCAGTGAATCCACCATTATGCCATGACAGTCTACATCAGAGTTCCTCAACCTTGGCAACTTTAAGAGGGGTGGACTTCAACTTCCAGAATTCCCCAGCCAGCCTTGCTGGCTGGGGAATTCTGGGAGT